AGTTTCCGCTTGTGAGAAGTTCTGCTCAAGACTTGGCTATCGAACAGCGAAAACCGCAGGTCGCTATCTAGCTTCTGTCAAAAGTTATTCAGAAAACAGCCACACGCACCGTATTACATAGAATAGATGTAGAAGGATGAAAGAAAAGGAGAAAAGCAGAGTTTTCGGTGCTTTTAGAAAAATGCTTATGATTTTTGATGGGGATATCGCACAGAGCTCAGCAACGTCTCATTTTGAAGAGAACATTTTTCTCTATATGAATATATATTTAAAAAGATTTTGGCTAGCCAGCACACATGTGGACGAGTTTTGGAAAGTAAACTAGGGATGTTAATTTAGTGTAACTTTAGAAAATAAATGTAAATGAATCATTTATACTTAATAAATAAAGATAATATAATACTTATTTCTTTATTTCTACCTTTATTTTATAAAAGTAAATGATCTATTTACCTTTGTTTCTTAATTTCTACCTTTACTTTTAAAAATAAAGGTAGAAATAAATGTTATATTATATTTATTTTTTAAATATCGTTATCCATTATTATATATGAACAATAAAACTAAAGTAACCCCCCTCCCCCCCAAAGTAAACAATAATGAATTAGAATGTTCGGTGGTCAGTCTTAAAAAATCCATAACTTTTGAAAGGAGAGCTATACAACCAAATCCTTTGGAGGTTAAGACTAGAACACCATATAGTATCTATCGGCAAAAGATCATCGAAATAGGAGAGTATCAGCTAGGGATCTTCCCTCGTTAGTAGGTAACAGAATTCCATACGGATTCGAATGTTTGAGTCCAACTCAGTGATGCACGCTCTTTACATACTACAAAACTAAAACGTTGTTTGCTCTTTTTTTCTGACGAAATTGCAATATAAGAAAATTGTTAGAGTTGAGATCAGTTCATATGAAGCTTTGCTAGGTGTAAGTCGAAATTATAAACACGATAAATCTGTATGGGTGTGACATAAAATGCCTAATCGTTTTATTAAAAGAATCACAGCAAGTTAGGGAACATGATTTTGACGTACACGAAGAATTGGTCAGTTAGATATATCAAAGCCAACTTCATCTGACTTGCTACCCCGTTTAGCTTATCAAGTTCACACTCTTACAACACATTTTGCAAGGGATGAAACAACAACCAAGCATTATATTGGATCGTTGCTACAAGAGTGTGGAGAAACATATTTAGTGAATATGGTAGTTGATGGTTTGAGAAACATTCGTACAAGCAACGAACCAATTGTTGCCTGGAAATAGAGGATGCAAAAGTGTGTGTTCTCTGAACTCCGAGCTAATGTATTATCGACATATTTGTCGATGTATCCACGTGCAGACCGAGGGTAATTAATGCCTTCGATCCATGCATCAAATGCTTAAACGAAAGAAAGAGTCGCTAATTTTAAAATATTTTCTCAAGGTGAGTCCAACTGGACCCCAGGACGGCTATGGTGTTACAAAGTGAGGACAGCTACGAAGGGTTAATGTTTAAATGTTTAATTTTTCTCTAGAAAAATTACATTGGACAGTTTTTTATCTATGGATAAAGTAAAAGAATATATAAATGAAATACTGCGAACCGTATTCGTAACCTAAATTTTTTCTAAAAAGTTTTGTATTTTATTGGTTTTATCTAAAGTCTTGTAGAGAAAAATTAAACGAAGAATCATTTATAAAAATAATTAGCTCGTTAGACTTAGTGGATGCAGAGATTTAAATAAAATATTGAGAGAACCATTATTTCTGATTCATCCGTTTGTATTGTCGTCTGGTTTAAACTATAAACTGTAGATCAACACGAATGCATTTATTTGGTGGATAATGAAATGACAGATGTTCAATTGATATTGGCCGAAGATGATTCTAATGACACCCTGGAATTAATATCAAATATCAGTGTTACATGTAGATGAATAAACTTGAGTTGCAGACTCATACCCATTTTGCAAGCAATTTTATTACTAATTGTTTTATCATTTCCCATTGTACATTTCCCATTTTGCAAGCAATTTTATTACTAATTGTTTTATCATTTCCCATTGTACATTTCCCATTTTGCAAGCAAACTATTTAAGAGACAACAGATATTTGATTTTATGAATCTCAATATCGTCTGATTAATTGATCATGATTATTAGAGTCCATACCAGAGTTGTAACCGGATCGGTTGGATCAGTTGAACCGGTCGGTTTTTGCCGGTTTCACAAAGTTGTGCATATTCGTTCATTTTTCATGAGGAAAACATTATGCATGTCTGCTTAGTAGTTATTTTAAAAGAAAGAAAGAGCGACAATTTTATTTGAAATGTAAATTATATTTTTTTTTATTCTTTCAATTTGTTTTCAAAGACAAAGTCTTTATTTACTGTTTAAAATATCTTAGCAATCGGAACATTGTCACGTATTGAGCTTTTATATGCGTTTATCTTTTTTCTTTGATATTAATCCAATTTTTTACTTTCGATATGTCGATACCGTAGCTTCCTAACTGAGATGCAAATTCATCCTAATTGGCTTCGTTATTTGACGTAGTGAATCTCTTCCCAAATTTCTCTAGATATTCAGAACAAAATTTTTTCCCTAATATCAATTTTATTACCTGAAAAAAGTTAGTGAATTCACCGATTTTTACCGGCCTGGAAATATTTTTCGATCGGCCGGACCGAACCGGTTACAACTCTGATACATACTTAGGTAGTTGTAGAACATACGAATACTCATAAAAGGTGATCATCAAATGAATTATTATCATTAACAGTTACAGACTGATATAAGGACTTCACACATGAATATATTAGAGCAGGTACGCGACCTTAGGAACCGGTAGAATAACACACATTTTCGCTGTTTGAAGATGGAATATGTTCGGAGTTGTCAATTATAAATAATTATTTATAATCGACAACTCTGGTGAAATGAACTAAACATGATCCGATCAAGGAGAAGAGAGTGGATGACTGGTTTTTCTGAGCGAAGATATTTACATGCGTAGTAAAACTATTTTTGCTTGAGTTACGAATTTTTTAGTTGTGTGTACAAATAGCGGGAAATTAACAGTTTTGATTGTAAAAATTCTAAATGAAACCAACGATTGTCAAGAGATCTACCCATTTTAAGATCACAAGGAGCAAGAGGAGAATAGTCTTGGCGCTATCAAAACTTTGATATCGCACCTAACCGTAATAGGTGAAAAATCAGGATTACTTCTCTTTCTTAGAGAAGACTTTGGACTATCCATTCACGTTAGACAACAAATATACAGCTATTTCAAATTTTGGAAATTGAAACGGATTCTTCCAAGATCTACTCAAAACTCTACATTCGATAAGGGAATGTTTGAAAGCCGATCTTAAATTTTGACTATTGAATCAAAGATGGACGAGTACGAGTATACTCAAGTACAAAATTCCTAGTACTCGTATTCGGGACTTTTTTTAACGAGTATTCCAAAAAATGCTCGAGTACTTCCCAAAAAATGGTGACCTTTTTTTTACTATTTGCGTATCAAAAAGTCGATTTATTCGGAAATTTTTTTCGGATTGACCGGCTTCTTCAGAAATAAATAATACTCGAGTACTACTCAAGTACTTTTCAGAAAATACTCGTACTCCTACTCCTACTCGATCTTCAGTACGCGTACTCATACTCAGAAATTCGTGTACTTGCCCATCTCTGTATTGAATGACGAAGAGCACAATCTTAATCATCTATTGATGAAAAATTATTCAGAAAATGAGCGAGTTCATTCTATTTTGAAATACACAGTAGTTATATTTATTAGTTTCGATTTATTATTGATACCTTTTGACTGAAAAACCCATCGATTATTTCACTTCATTGAGTACCAGCTTTACTATTGCTCCACTATTCCTCATTAAGACAATTATCATTGTTTCAAAGGGTTAGTAAGCTGAACCGAACACTATCCAACTGAATTATAACCTAATGATATCCAAATGACGTCTTCAACCATTAACACAAAAAACTAGATAGGTTTACAAAATTGCATGCTCGCACTTTAGAGGGCTGGTTTTGGAACGTCCATGCTCGACAGGCTTTTAACTTCGAAATTGATCAAACAGTATTTCTCTATTCAGTTTTTAACGATGAATCCGAAAAAATTATTTGAAGACTGCAAAACAATCTAGAGCCGAAATATTAAAAAAATTTCAACTAGAAGGATTTTTCGAGTTTTTGACATGAAAAAAATTTTTTTAAAAATTAAATCAGCTCGATGAGCTCTATTCAACAATATATTTTTTGCATTAGTGTGGACAAAGTATCTAAAGACGAATTGACGAATCGCAATATTTGAGCGTAAAAATGATACAATAATTCGCATTTTATCATTGTTTTGCGAATTCGTAATTCACTGCGACCTGATGCGAATTAACAAAAATGATAAAAAAATAACCAAAAACGTGACTCTTTTGTTCCTCTTGCCAATTATGTAGGCAAGAAATTTCGGATATCCACGAATTCGTAAAACGAATTGGTCGACTATCGACGAATTCATGAAATGATCGTTTTGGTCCCCAAGAATTCATATATGAATTCGTAAACTGGCAAGAATACGACAAAATGCGAATATACGAATTCTATTTACGAATTCGTAGATGCCAAAGCATATCCGACGAATTCGTAAATTCGCACACTTCTCACCTCAATTCGCCGTTATTTTTATGAATTCGTAGAATACGAATTGATGACAAGTACAAGAAATTTTTCTATGAGGTTAAGAAAACAAAGAATCGTCTCTTCGGATAAATTCGTTCACCAATTTGTCGATAGTTTTTCGCAAAAGGAAATAGAGACGAATCTCTCTCCTTCTCGTGTACATATGCTGGTGGGGGGGGGGGGGGGGGGGGGGGGGGGGGGGGGGGGGTTTTACCCCCAAAAGGCAAAAGGTTGTGGGTTGTTTTCGGAGCGTTTTTTTTGCGGGTGGGTAAAAAATACG